TTTGGTGCCCACTGGAAAAAAAATTATGTTTTTTTCGAAAAGTTGTGACCGAAAAAGGTTAGTTCCTAACCTAACCTGTTTCATAAATAGACGTAAAACGGAGTTGGAACAGAAACAAACATGTTCTAAATGAATAAAGATGTGAACAAAACACAAGGAAGGAAAGACAGCACTCGTAAGCCAGACATATTATGTCATTTGACGTCCATAAATACGATTCAAAGGATAGATTGTTAGCTTTGGTTTTCTGACACTGTCTGTCCCCCGTGGTTATAAGCACCCCGCATAATTTAGCAAAATTTGATCTTTTATTTGCATATTTTCTGATTTTTTTCCCCATGATCATTTTTCGTTAAAATTAACAGAATAGCATAATTTCAAATTTTTTGGCTCAATTTGTATAATTTCAGAATTATTTTTGCATAAAACCGCCGGGACAGCACTGTTTTGTCCATCTGACATGCTGGTCTCCTGTCGCCGGCGAAGACTGTTGTTAGTTTTGGTGTTGCTTTTGCTTTAGGTCACAAGATAGACTGTCTTGAGAAGTCAGCCCCTCCTACTTCCATACCCTCTGTGGCCTATAAATACAATGCCAGCTCTTAGTTGGACAGCTTAGTGGCCAATCTACATACAGCGACAGTCCCCAATCGTCTGTGTACAGTCGAACCTGCCCTGACGGCCAACTCTATAAGACGGCCACCAGTACAAATGGCCTCTTTCCATTTCCCCCCTAGCGTTTTTTCTATATAATTTAACTGTGTAAAACTGGCACCTGTCCAACGTAGCCGCGGCCACCATATTTTATCACACAAACCATATCACACTAAACAATAACACCTGTCTTAGACGTCCACCTCAGTGACTCCATTGCGTTTTGTAATAAACTGTGAATTGGCCCCTGGCGTTGAGGGCGAGCCGTCATAATCCAATCACCTGTCATTGTTGTCAGGTAGTCCCTCCACCCGATCATGTTGCATAGGCCTCTCCCACTGTTGACCAATAGGTACCAATGTTCAGCTGCTGGTGAGGTAAGCGTGTGATCCCTCATAACCCAGAAACCCCGCCCAGAACTCATACACAAATCGTATGTGAGACGAGTGGTCACTGTTTACCCAGTCTGTAACAAAGAAACAATGGACGTCAACATGAACTTGTGACAGAAGTGTCGCTCGTTCTCCGAGCGCTGGCGACCCATGTGTTTGTTTTACCCCAGCACTCGGCATTACTCGTCTGATACATTTCGTTTTATTGTCAGTCTTGCGCACAATCAGCAACAAAATAAAAATAACAACAAAAAACAACAAAAACCAACAGCAACAAAAACAACAGCAATGCGGCTTCTTTCGATTGGGACCTCAGATGGGAATGGTTTGTTTTCTTCCTCTTGATCAGTCCAGTCTAAGAAGGCCACCTGTCTTATACGGTTTCCTCTTGACAATGGATGGCCGTCTTACACAGGTTTGACTGTTTTTCCTACAGACCAATGTTCCCCCACATAGGTCTGACTGGAGTGGCTTCCTGTCCCTGCCACAGACAAAGGTCTGACTGGAATGGCTTCCTGTCCCTGCCACAGACAAAGGTCTGACTGGAGTGGCTTCCTGTCCCTGCCACAGACAAAGCTCTGACTGGAGTGGCTTCCTGTCCCTGCCACTGACAAAGCTCTGACTGGAGTGGCTTCCTGTCCCTGCCACAGACAAAGGTCCTCACAGAAGCAGCGAGAACCCCGTGGTAAAAGACGACAAAAGGACTACAGAGATGTCACCCTCTACGGTCTATACGGGTCCTTGACCCTGTTGTTGTTGTTGTTGCTGTTGTTGTAGTTGTCGTCGTTGTTGTTGTTGTTGTTTTTGTTGTTGCTGCTGTTATTGTTGTTGTTTCTGTTGCTTATAAGGCCATTCCGTGGTAGATTTGAATAGCTAATCCCAGATGTGATTCTTTTCTCTCTCTCACTCTCTCTCTCTCTCTGTCTCTCTTTATATATATATTTTATTATATAACATCCCTCAACAGGCAGTGCAGCGATTGATTGATTCAAGGCGGCGACGATGTCAGGCCGTCATCAACGCTACTGATCCTGTTACTTTTGTAGATCACCCCCACACTCTTGTCACTCGTCAATAAACCTGTTATGTTAACATTCCGTATTGTTGTTGTTGTTTTTGTTTTTAAAATTGATTGAATTCGTATTCCTGAAATTTGAAAGAATATCGACGCATTGTGAAACTAACTATTTTAATTTTAACACAGTGTATACTTAAAAATGTGACAGAGTATATAAATACGGTTGTGTTATCTCGTTACCTGAATGCAACGACAGGTCCCATAGATATAAGGCTAAAGATAATTTAGAATTATTTTGTCCATCGGGACACGTGTTGTGAATAGCGACCTTGATAAGCTAATAATGTTGTGACTGTAATATTAAGCACTTTCTGTTCCCAGAAAGACAGTGAAAACCAGATGCCAGTGAGAATACAATGTTCGTGTGATTTTCTGTGAATACACAGAATCTTTTCCTTATCGCGGTCTATGCAACCTCCATAAAAACGTATTGTCACTGGGGATATTTTTTCTTGTTTTTGCGTATTCTTAGCTTCCTACTACACACCAAAAGGTCCTTTCGAAAGAGGCGAAACTCTGCCAGAGCAAGATAGTTGTAATGAGTGTGAATTGTTTACATCGTTATTGATATGATTTTTCGTGGTTTTTTTATGTTTTGTTTTTGTTTTTGTTTTTGTCTTTGCTCCTCGTCCGACCCTATCAAATGATGCTTGTGTGTCTTACTTATTTTACTTTATCCGTCCTCTTGTACCTCTAGGGCGTCGAGGGGAGAAAAAGCTTCCTGTCTCTAGCAAGTTTGACGGCCTGGCTGGGTGGGATATTGAATGTTCTCAGGATATCCTTCACACCCTGGATACAGGTCTTCCTTGGTCTTCCTCTTGCTTTGTACCCTGACACTTTCCTGTAGTAGGCTTTACTGGCAAGCCGGTCAGGTGCCGTACGTGTGAGATTTCCAAACCACCTGATTGTTTGCCTTCAGATGAAGTGGAAGACAGGTGTTTTTCCCCCCATTTATTCTCTAATCGTATTGTTTCTTACCATGTCCCGTCTGGTTTTCTTGACGACTCGGCTCTCCTTAGACATCTCATCTCGCAGGTGGTTATCTTATGTTCCAGTTCCAGACTTTTGGTCAGGGTCCATGTCTGGCACTGGTAGGTCAAGGTGGGGATGAAGATAGAGTTAATAAGCTTGGCTTTGGTCTCAATGGGGATGATAGGATGTTTGAGGAGTGGGGCAAACTGGTAGCTGACGTTGTTAGCCTTTTGTACTCTTGTCTCAATTTCTCTGTTGAGACGTCCGTCTTCCGAAAAGATGCTACCAAGATACTTGAACTCGCTGACTTGTTTCAGCGGATTTCTGTCGATGGCGATGTTACGGTTGCAAGGTGTTCTGCTGACTTTCATCGTCTCTGTTTTGCTTTTACTGATCTTCATGCTGAGCTTTTCACATTGTGTATTTAGCCTGTCTGTGTGCTCCTGAAGTTGCTCTTCTTTCTCATGTGCCAGGCTTTGATCGTCCGCAAACAGCACCTCATTCAGGTCTATTGGGTTGGGGTTGCTTTTGTGTCAGCTAGACTAAACAGGATGTGCAAAATATTATCATTAGATCTATATTTTAGCAATAATAGAGGATTAATAAAATTAATACATGTACTAAGAAAACTCATAAAGAGCACTGAGTTTGTTAGAGTTTGTTTCTAAATCCTTGTTTTTGTTGTTGTTGACGCCTTTGCTTCTTCTGTTATTTTAATAGAATTATTAGGCTACCCACGTTTTGCTCGTTAGAGTCCAGAGACGAGCCATTTTCTCTTCGTTCCCTTGTGGAGCCAGCCTTTATTCGTCGTCAAAAGCTCCAAAATATTTGCACGAAATCTCACACTAGGTTGGGGGGCTAGGGGTACAGGGACTACTCTGCATATAGATATCCTTCTTTACTATATTAGAGGCTAGATAGTACTATACTATCATTAATAGTCGTGAAGTGTATAGAACAGGAGTCTTGAACTCAAAATACCCGGAGGTCACTTGAGGTAGAGTTTGGGTGAGCGTCGGCTGCATCAAATATTCCACTAAAAAAGGTTTCAAGTATTTTGTTCAAGTGCACTTAATCTACTCTTTTCAGTCTTTATTAATAGTAGTTCAGAGAGTGAACGAATTTGCAGGGTAGGTTTCTGTTACTTACTCCTTACTACTAGAGACCTGACAGAGCGTCCTCGTACATAGCTCAGTTACATGATGTACATTTGGGCGACACTAACATTAAACTTTGATGTCAAGTAGGAGCCGTAAAATATCGTCCAGCGGGCCTCAGTTTGCCCGCAGGCCGCGAGTTAGAGGCCTCTGGCATAGACCTTTCCGTAGAGCATGGATATGAGCTAAATAAATGCAATATTGTTGCTAAGACTTTTGTCTTAAACTCAACAAAATATATGTGATTCTATTTCATACTCTTCAGTATGATGTTTTGCCCCTGATTTAAGACAACTTCTGAGCACTGAAGCAAAAATGCAATGGGAATTGGTAAACGAGGGTGGAAATGGACGGGCCAGTATGTATGTGTGTGTGTGTGTGTGTGTGTGTGTGTGTGTGTGTGTGTGTGTGTGTGTGTGTGTGTGTGTGTGTGTGTGTGTGTGTGTGTGTGTGTGTGGGGGGGGGGGGGGCAGCAGCTTTTTGTCGAACATATAATAATGTCAAGCTCACTATTTGTGTTATATTTTTAATGCATTTCATTTTCTTGTTATTCACAACAACGTCCTAAATAAAATGTAATGTATGAAACAATTTCTAAATGCTTTCTTTAGTTATCCTGTAGTACGCTGTTGTTCTCTGTCTATGTGTTTCCTACACGATATAATAATATAACCCAGCCAAGACACTAGCAACTGAAGGTTAGACACTCACGTTAATTGTTAGAGCACAAATTCAGTAAAGCTACTTCACAACAGCATGTCTAGCAGGGCTGTGCTAAAAGTTATTTTATCCTATCTGATGTTGCGATTAGTTTGTGACGCAAAGTGCTTGACCATAAAGTGGGTCACGTTGATTAGATGTGTTGAATACAACTCCGATCTCACCCATCATTAGTAACCGTTGGCAGTCAACTGCACAGGAAACACTGAGTCTTTTTAGCCTGTGGCAAAGGTGATTATCTGAAAATGGTAAGTGATTACATTTTATTTTACATTCAGCTCATCATTTTTACTGTAGTTTTCCACATACCTTGCAGGGCACATCAAGTCTTTCAAAGAGCCGAAAACCTTCAAGAGCCATATTTAAGTGCGGCCTCAAATTATGAATTGAAGAAACTTTTCACAAAGCATTACAACTAAAAATATAGCTTGCTCATATAAAAATCGTCTTTAGTGTATGGGAAGTAAGAGGTATGAATCATGGGTGTAGGTTTGTAAATTTTAAACACCGTTGAGTGTACTTTAAATGGCGTCAAAGCAAAAGTTGTTGTGGTTTTTTTATTAAGAAAAAAAAATAGTTAATACCAGCGGGCAACTCCGAGTACAGTCATTCATAAATTATTTTCAACTATTACAGCAGCAGACTAAAATGCACAATGCACCGTTCTATATCATACAAGCAATTCATTTCTAGTCACCACATCGCACCAACAAGTTGTCTTTAGCTGATGTTAGCGGGTGCAGAGCAGCTCGTGGACACACCCCCATTGTGGGTGGTTGGTGGGTGCTCTGGTGTGGTTTGCTCCTTTTTACCTATCCAACATTAATCGTCGTTAGGGTTAATGTCAGTAGCCTAGCGGTTAGGCTCCGGACTCGTTATCGTGAGGTTGCGGGTTCGGGGTTCGAGCTTGAGGCCTGAAGTTGTGCCCTTGGAAAAGGCACTAATTAACACGAATTTTCCTCACTTCACCTAAGTTCGAAAGGGTACCCAGCCATAGACAGCACGTCTGTATGTTCCTTTTTTTAGCGCCTATAACACACACCTTGCACTGTGTGCTTCATAGGAAGCTAAGATTGTTTCAGAATGCTATCAGGTCTGCTGAGGTATTAATATAGATTAAAAAGCGCATAGATCTTGCTGTTGAGCAGGAGTTTGCGCTGTACAAATGCTATTTATCCATTATTATTCTCATAATCTATTCTCCTTCCTAATTGTATGAGTTACTCTCTTTTAACACCTCTCATCTTCGGCACTTGTACGACCTAACTATGCTGCAAATCTAGTAAAACGCTTACGAAAACAATAAAACAAAAACACCCCCCTTAACCACTCTCCTAGTTGTGTGTGTCACCGACGTTGCTTGGCATGGAAGTCAAGGATATCAGGCCTGACTGCAGCCATAACTCGTGACCCTCATACGGGAAAGTGACAAAAAGTGGGATACAAAAGAATAATTTGAAGGTATAACTAACACCCAAGCAACGCAAGCAGATAAATCTAGACTACAGTATTACCAAGAATTTCGCAACGCTAAAAATGTCCCTATTTGACGTTAGAATCTTATCGCTATATTATTATTATAAGACAGCCTGAGAAGTTTGCTATCAGTAATCAGTGGGGTTTTTTGTTATCTGCTTTTCGAAGTTAGTTATGCTCGCCGTTTGCGCTGCCAAGAACCCTCTCTTCCTGGCCTACATTCACCTCTTGTCTTATTACTTCTAATGTACTACTATTTAATTTCTCACAGAAGCAAGAATGGCGTTGACCGTTCGTCCCTTCTGCTTATCCATCTGTCTACACATACACCCTAATCTTCTGAAAACGTCAAAATCTGGCTAATGATAGGACATTATGACTCCCTTTCTCTCTCTCTCCTGTAACCCTGAAAAACCCTCGCTGTAAAAGTTAATTCTACACATGTTAATTAGAAGGTCTGCAATAATTTTTAATCCTGAGTCTAATTTTCTGTTGTGACATTTCTGCTCCTCGCCTTCTGTTGCACAAATCCCCAAGATAAAACTCGGTATTTTGCGGAGACTCGACGAAAACCGAACTGAAATACTAATAACAAATCCAATGATGTCCCTCGTGGAAGATCATAATTTGACCGAAAAAGGACATTTGTGTGATTTTTACATAAAAATGACATGTCTTAAAAGAACAAAAGAGAAAAATGCTATTGTTCAACGTCAAGATTATGAACAAAGTTCTATGTAAACAAAACAAATATTATGGAAAAAGAAAAGAAAAGAAAACACTCACAGAAAATAACAATAATAAACAATGTTCATAATAACTCCGACAACCCCTTTGTTTTGTTGATGTTTAATCATAAGCGCCACCGAGGAGACTTTGAGTTCAACACAGTAGAGATTGTGTGTTTATCGTAGACTTCAGAAAGGGGATTCTCATGGCCTAGAGGATAAGGTATTGGCCTCTCATTCAAAGGTCCCGGGTTCGAATCAGGGTAGCGACCAGAATTTTATTCTCTAAAATGTTCTCCTTTCCCCTCCTTTGCTGCTCTCAAGCAATGTTCTGTCGTCTGCTTTCGTCTCCTCTTTCTGCCCCCCCCCCCCTCACCTCCTTTGCTCCCTCCTCTGGGCTCCTGACCTTTTCTGCAGCCTTTCTACTGCTACTCCTTGGCTCCTTTTTACTGCTGTCTTTCAACCACACCCCTGATCTTCTGATAGGAAAGATCTACACCTAGCCTTCTCGGACAAGGCGAAAAATCTCGGAAGGCTCGAGCGCAAATTGCACACGTTAAAGATCCCTTGGTGGTCTAAAATCGATTAGAGTGGGCTTCGGCCGCCACCCGGGCAAAATTCAAAATTTCCTACCAACTGAAAAAGTTTAATGTGTCCTGTGCGCTCATATGACCTCATGCAGTTGCGAGCGCCGTAAAATAAAGAAATTAATTAAAAAAAGACTTCAGAAAGACCAGAACGCATGTTCTGTTAATTTGTTTTGTTCTGTTTTAATTTTTTCTGATCTAAAAAAAAAAATGTTTCAGCTTAGTTGTTTTTCTTTTGTTTATTTTGTTTTGTTTTTCTTTGGCTCCTGTATCCCTCTAAGTTAATATCACACAGTTGAAGATCAGGCGTCATCGTTGCTGTACTGGATGGGAGGATTCAGCCACCCCCTTCCCCTAAT